CCCTGGGCTAACATCTGTGCCCATCTTCTTCTACTTTATATGGGATGCCACCACAGCATGGCTTGACAAGTGGTGGCGTCAGTGCGCGCCCAGGATCTGAACCCTTGAACCCTGGGCCGCCCAAGTGGAGCGTGCACACCTAACCACTTGCGCAACTAGGCTGGCCCCTTCACTAGACAGTTTCTTACTGAAGCAATTTAAATTCCTGGAAAGTTGTTAAGATGCTTCAAATATAAAAATAGGTGAAGTTTTCTTAAGGCATCGAGATTTTAAGTAGTTGGAGTGGTTTGTGGGGCAAAAGTAGTTGGTTGGGAAGTAAGGGTACATTGAAAAAAAATTACTTTATAAATAAGATTTTAGATGCTTGCCTTATGCTTAATGAATCTCATTGCATTCAAGTGTTTAATATTGTGCTTATTTATATTCCTAGGAGGAGAGAAGGGCACAGTTACCTAAATATCAACGTAATCTTCCTCGACCAGGACAGGCTCCCATCGGTAATCCACCAGTTGGACCAATTGGAGGTATGATGCCACCACAGCCAGGCATCCCACAGCAACAAGGAATGAGACCCCCGATGCCGCCTCATGGTATTCCTCTTTTTATGTTTATTATATTTAGTGGATTTTTGAGTAGTCGTGTGCCACATAACAACGGACTGCATATTTGACCGTGGTCCCATAAGATTAGTACCACATAGCCTAGGTGTATAGTAGGCTGTACCATCTAGGTCTGTGTAAGTACGCTCTATGATGTGTGCATGATGACGACATTGCCTAATGACGTATTTCTCAGAACGTATCCCCGTTGTTAAGTGACGCATGACTGTATACACATAAAATGGTAAATTTATCTGCAAAATATATTGTATTTAAAAGTACAAAATATAGTCCAACTCAATGTATTTTTTGTTTCTTGAATGTTTTTTTTAGGTCAGTATGGTGGTCATCATCAAGGCATGCCAGGTTACCTTCCTAGTGCTATGCCGCCATATGGGCAGGGACCGCCAATGGTGCCGCCTTACCAAGGTGGGCCTCCTCGACCTCCGATGGGAATGAGACCTCCTGTAATGTCGCAAGGTGGCCGTTACTGATCTTACTTCATCCAATCTAATAGGTTTGGAGATTAAACCTTTTCTCAACTTGTGCTGTTTATATAGCCAAGCTTCCGTCAATAAGGCTTCATTGTGACTTTAACAAACATTATCTTCCCACATACCAGGAACTATTGGACATTTATTTTACATGGGAAAAATTATTTGGAATAATAAAGCAGGAACTTTTCCTGAAGTTGCAATTTATACTGTATGGCTTCTTTTTCATGTTTCATCTAGGTTTTTAGAAGTGAAGTATAGTAAATTTGGTTCGTTATATTGTGAAGGCGCTGGAATTACATGAACATACCACCTTAATAAAGGCAAGTTCTGTAAGCTTACGTTGCTATTTGTAAAGTTATGCCTTCACAGCATTTCAGATGCTGTTGGACTTCATGTCCCCAACCTAGCTTGGTGAGGGCTGTAACTGTTTCCAAGTACCTGTACATTGGAAGTCTGAAATGTGTAACAATATTTAATGTATTTAGAGTTCCTCATGTTGCAGGGTTTAAGAAATCTGACCCACCAAGGTCATGTGACTTTTCTGTACTGTTAAACTTCATTGTAATAAAATAAGAGAAAAATTTATGCCTTTTTATTCATAACCCAGCTGTGGACCACTGCCTGAAAGGTTTGTACAGATGCATGCCACAGTAGATGTCCACATAATAAAATTCAGAGTTACCAATGCAGTTTTGATATATCACTGGATTCTGTCTTTGAATTGTAGGTTGTTAGCTGCATGTTTTAAACTGGACAGTATATATAGAATTGTATGTTAGTGCTTCAGTTGACAGAAACATTTAGATACATGAGTCATTACATAATGGGTATGAAATCTTTATATTGTGTCACCTCACCACCCCCTTGGTGTCAATACATGTTACATGTCAGATATTTAAAATGTAAATCTTAATATTCCCTCCTTCCTGCTGACGATGTTTAGAGCCTAGTGCCAGACCCATTCATTCATTTCCTTCTGATTATTTTTGAGACTACAGTACTGTGTGGACCACAGAAGCTTTTCAAGGTGCAAACTTCTAGAAGCTTAGGTGCATGCAGTAATAGCTTTTTGTGCTGTTAATGGGTTGGTATATGTTCTGTGTAATGCCGAGGATGTAAATGCCTGTGTTAGGATGGTTAACAGATGGATTCAAAATTTTTAACTTTTATGTTCTTGGAAGATTACATTATTTCTTTGATTAGATGGCTAGCTTCTGTTATTATTAAGCCTAAATGGCTTTGCTGTTAACATTTTCATCCTTGGAAATTTAAGTGTTACTGTGTTCCTATGGAGAACTTTTCTGTAGAGATGACTGCTGTTATTCAGTATCTTGTATTGGCAAGTCTCTTATAATAATAGCTCTTGTTGATCTCTTTCTGACGTCCATTTGATCTTTACTTTTGCCAGAGTAGTTTTATGGTTATTTAAGTATCAAATGACCTGTACAAAGTGTAATTATTAATATAATGAACTCAAGTTGAGTTTTTCCTCAATATAAAGTTTAGACTTCTAAGAAAATGGTAACATTTCTTTATAACCTTGATGTGAAGGTGTAGATATAAGACATGAAATGCGAAGTTTTCTTTAAAAAAACAAGGTTTAACCTTGTAGGAAAATATTGAAAAATGTTTTAACCATCATAAAAAAGTCTGTATTTAAGTGGCAAGTAAAAGTCATTCATGTAAACAAAACATTGCAAGTATTATAAAGCTGAATGCTATTTTAAATCTGATATTTTGCTCCACTGGTTTTATAACTCCTGTGTTGTGGTACCATTGAGGATCTAAAAATTCTGTAGCTTGAAAAGGCAGCATCCATGTGTCACCAAGAATGCATTTCTTCCTTCTGCCAGCAGCCAAGCCCCATTCCCCTTTCTCCACCAAATGCCTGCCTACCTAAATAGTTTTGGAATTAACATACTCTTCTTAGATTTGGCAGCACATTTATCATACTGCCAAGGAAAAACCTGTGTTGAAAATATTTAAGGTAAACATGGCATGATTAAATTTAGAATGATTAGATAGGAAGTGTTCTCCCAAACCAGATGTCTCAAGCATTTCATGTACAGGCTTATCAGCAAACTACAAATGGGTTAGTGATGTTTTCAGAAGTTGTGCAAAGCTTCATTTGCATTTAATGCAAAGAGAACTTATTTTTATATCAAGGTTTGTTACTTTCCCAGATCTGAAGAGAGAAGATATTATTAGTATTAAATAAGTGATAGAATTCTTATTAAAAGTTAATTCAAAGTGTTATGCATGGCACTTAAAAAACAAGCACATCTCTTGTGTTTTGTAGGTATATGGCTCAGGTGGTGCCCATTTGGTATATTGAAAGTGTAATTTGTGCATGCATCAGAGCATAATTAAGCTTCTAGAAAATACCATTTACCTAACTGCTTCTGGGGTCCATAGTGTGGTTAAATCGTGAGTGGAACAAATTACATTGAAATAACTCTTACTTGTGCTTCCTTAAATAATAGATGAAGTTGAGTCGAAGTAGACATCAACTGCCCTCAGAGAAGACAACTTCTGAGATTTGATATATTCAGGCAGGCATTGTGATTGCCATCATTAAGGAAGTTGTAAGATTAATGGGGCTGCCGGCTTTGGCTCTACCTTAAATCCACTACTATATCACCTTTTGTAAAGAAAACAAAAACGACTTAAACATTTTGTCTGGCACTAGTTTCTATTGTATAGATTTTACTACTGTATGACAATAACAAGACCAGCAGGTGAGGATCAAGTTTTGAGTGGCTGCTGGAATTATCATTTGATTTGAATACTTAACCGTTTTAGTGATCGCTCACACATTTACCATTAGGAATGGGGAAAATACTCTTAGTGTACTCCTGGTCCACTGATCAAGTTACATATTGAGGTTAAACTCAGCTTAAACATAGTTATCTGGGGGGAGATCCCCAACAACATAAGTATGGGCTCAGAATGGAATTATAGTTAACAGTAGTTTTTTAGAAAAAATAGCTGCTTTTTTTCTTTTGCTTGCTTGATCATTGGGATTTTTTTTTTAATGCATGTCTTTTAAATTAATTGGGTAATGTTTTTCTAAAATTAAAATTTTCTTCTTCCTATAGCCCTGCCATAGGACAGGCTGAGGCTGAGTCTCAGTGTTGCCCTGTTCAGTCTGAGGCAAGTGGGATTTATTTTATTCCTTGTAGGGGCTTTCACAGCTTTATGGCTGTTGGATATTTATGTCCCCAAACTTGCAGCAAGTTTGGTGAAGGCCCCTAAATTTAATTAAACTTAGGATTTTTATACTCTTTTGGCAGAGAAGGCTCTATATTAATATTCACGTTTGACTGTGGTGTTAATAAATCAAAAAAGTATTTTATATATAATTTTATGTAATTTACTTTGTGTTACATAATATTGGACAGCCTCGGTATTACTATATTGAACTTCAGTAAATTGACAAAATTTGACATTCTTGATTTGGAGGCATGAAATGTTTGATTCAAATTTTCCGCTTTCACTTTTAGGAAAATCTTATGTGTTATTTTCTCCTCAAACTATTAAATTTAACTTCAAGGATAAGTTTAATCATTAGAAATGCCACTGGATACTGAAATCTGCTTTCTTAATCCCAAAGTTATGCATTCACCATTAAGGTTGAAAGGTCATCTGGAAATGCTTGTAATTTTTGATATTTTCAAACCTCACCACATTAGAGCAAATGTTAATGTAGAGCCCTGGGAAGAGTGGGAAGGTTGTGTGTGTGTGGTATGTGTGTGTATACACAACACATTTGAGATAATAAAAGAATTTGGGTATTACACACCCGACAGTGGCTAGTGGCTAGATTACTAATTTTCAGGTAGCCAAACTGAAATTGGATCATGTGGTAAAGTTAGTGTATTAAACCTATGGTTTTGAAATGATTTTGAGGTTCTTTTTCAGCCTTACTGAACAATATTTTATGCAGTATGCACACATGAGAAGTAGCCACGTTTGTTTCCAACTAAAATTTGCTTTTATCTGATGAGAAAAGTGTGTATGTTGTAGGGGGTAAAAAGGAAACCGAAGAGAGCCAAAACAAACCTGGATTATTTTTGTTTTTTCCTGTGTTTAAGCCACCGTTCTATTCAGATAGCATTTTCCTCTGAACAACAGTGACAATTAACGTATAGTACAACATTTAGGAAACTGAGATTGTGTTTCTTTGTGGTTTTAATTCTTGGAAACATAAAAAAGATGCACTAAGTAAATTCTACATTTTCACCTGTTTGATTAGAACATATGCTTTTCTCTGAAACTGAATCATGGAAAAAAGATTTTAATGTTTGAACAAAGAATTTTGTCACAACAAAAATATTCCATTGGGATATTTTATAACCTACTCAGTAATTGCACCTTTTCTGTTGCACCCACTGTCCCCTAATATACTGAAATGTTTAAGAGTGAAGCTGCTTGACCTAATTCTAATAGTGATAATTGAAATAATTATAACTGAAATAGGTTCTTACATACTTGAGTACTGGAGGTGGGAGGGAGTTTTTAAGGGTGGCATAATTTGTTGAAGGTGATAGAGATACCTAATTTAAGATGTAGTTTCTTTGATATCTCTAGTTCTGTGACTCAAATATGATTTTGACAATTACATAACTTTTGGGTATCTGTTATGTCCACTGGTAAAACTTGGTAAATGAAAGGAAACGTTGAAGTCACTTCTTAACAGAGATAAAATTTTGTTGGAGTAAACTGACACTTGTATTGGTTAGAGGATTAAAAATAATATTAAACATGTATCCTAAAATTGTGTATAAATCAGGTATGTCTTTTTAAAAAGGTGGTATTTACCTACCTAATATTGAATAATCTTTGTATGTTATTCCAAAATGAAACCATTTTCTCTTACTGTAACTTTTATGGAAAAGTCTTCTAAAATGAGGGATTCAGTTATAAGACTATTGATTATAGGGCAGATTTTTGTAAGTAAGCATTATCCCAATTAACACTTCTGCTAGCTATCTCATGACTTAAATATTAGTGAAGGTTACTCTTTTTTTTCCCTCTCTCAGTATTTTATTTTCTGTCATCTGAATCATTTTAATAAATAATCTTTTGTTTTTTAGCGTAGAAATCATCTAACTCTTCTGTGTGATATTTCTTGGCAAAATAAGAAGCACTTAGGTTAATGATGATGTATATGGTGTCATGCACATAGTGGATATTCACAATTTTGTAATTAATGTTGCATTTTCAGAGCTGTGCTTTTAATATCTTGGCCCTTAGGCATCCTTTATTATGAATCTAATTCAGACTAATGCATAGGAAATGGAGAAAGCAGAACTTGAGTTTGTTCCCTACTACTTTAAATATCTCCAACTTTTCCTAGTGTTTTCATGTTCTTGGCATTTTTGTTGGGAAATAAATTTGAAAGCATTTTTAAGAAACTAGATTTCTTCAGTAAGGCTCAGAAGAGAATTGCTTTTTATAAGCATGGTTTTTTTTTTTGTTCTGGGCTCTATACATTCTTATGTAATTTGGCAATGAAAAAGGAAGAACTTTTCATTTTTCTTCCCAACCGTAACTTGAAACGACATTAGTTTGAAATTTTTGAATCATCTCTCTTTAAACCTGTTGAATTAATCTCATGTATTCTCAGGGGGAAATATTTTTATTTTACTAAGCAGATGTAGAAGTCGTATTAAGGCAGAAATTGGAGACCTAAAGGAGATCTTCACTGAAGCTAATTTGAACTATTTCTATTTGAAGCAAATTGAACACTGTATTACAAATCAAGACTGGTTCATGGTTAGGTTCTTTAGGAGGCATATAATCACCAGCTATATTATGAGAATATGTTTGTGTAAGTGGTTTAATTTTGATCAAATTAACTACAGAGAAGATACATGTGAGTAAACTATTTTAACCATTGATTACTTGAACCCTACCCATTAATTCTAAATGCTGTAATGGTGTGTAAAGTTGTGATAAGGCAACGGCACAGCTTCAGTAATGTTCTGTGTGTTTGGCCAGGGGTTTTTGTAATGCTGTGTTGGTAAAAAGGTGAAGTCCTTTATTGGAATTTTCCAAACCCTGTGGCATTCTTACTATGTCTGGGGTTTTTTGTTTTTGTTTTTGAGGAAGATCAGCCCTGAGCTAACATCCGTGCTAATCCTCCTCTTTTTGCTGAGGAAGACCGGCTCTGAGCTAACATCTATTGCCAATCCTCCTCCTTCCCCCCCACCCCCCAAAGCCCCAGTAGATAGTTGTATGTCATAGTTGCACCTCCTTCTAGTTGCTGTATGTGGGACGCGGCCTCAGCATGACCGGAGAAGCGGTGCGTTGGTGCGCGCCCAGGATCCGAACCTGGGCCGCCAGTAGCGGAGCGCGCACACTTAACTGCTAAGCCACGGGGCCAGCCCTCTTTTTGTTTTTTGTTTTTTTTTTTTTACTATTGTGATTAAGGAATCTGTATGCTTTCAGCTTTTGTTAAATTTGAGGACCTGGCAATGAAATTCATTGATGCCCAACTTGGATAAAAGTGAAGAATGGTGTTTCCCCAGGTTACTACACACAGACCAATAGTGATTATTTGGGGGAGAGTCTATTGTAAAGTGTTTAGACTTAAGAACCTTAAATGTAATGAAAGGTAACAACATCCCTGCTCTTGGTTTACATTTGTTTTTAAGGTTTCACTGAATCATTTATTATAATGTAGCTCATTGTTAACATTTTATTCATAAATAGTTCAGCAATTAATCAGAGATGGAAAGAAACTAGATTTGCAGCATCATTTCCCAGTGTCCACTAATAAAACAAGACTGCTTAACTAAGTGGACCAAGGGAAGAGTTATTAAAGTTTCTGTAAGTTAGAAAAATATGGGGCATCTAGTTATTGAGCAAAGCCTGCCGTTTAGCTATTAGCTTGTTAGTGTACTTCCAAAAGAAGCAATAGAATTTACTTTTCAGCCCTTGTTTTTAAAATTGAAAATCTCTAATATAAGAAAGTGAAATCAAGTTTTGAAAATTGAATTAAAAATTATTAAAAATTACTTGCTTCTGTGGGGTGTGTCTACATATATTTAGAAATTATCATGTTTAAGAGATTTTTTTCCTAGACATATGCCCCCCTTTTTTTAGTGTAATGAAAATTTCCTCCTAATGCGCATTGAAATACGTAGTTTATTAAAATTGAGATGTGTCCAAGAGATGTACAGTGTTATTAACTCATTCTGATAAGGTCACGCTAAATTTAAAGGCCAATGTAAGGTAACTTTTGTAGGACTTAGGGAAAATTTTTTAAATGTATTAATGTCAGGCTCTGAGGAAATTTAATGCACATTGACTTTAAACTATGGATTGAACTCCTCAGTTTAATACAATTTGTGTTTTTGTTAACTAGCAGCAGAATTTCAGCATTTGCTACTTACTGGTAGAGAAGAAAAATCCCACAGCCCTGCCAGTACAGGTTAGTTTAATCTGTAAGTACCTGATGTTCCTATTTTTTTCAAACATATCCATATAACCCACACAAGGAAGAAAGCTGTGCAGTTACTTAAATGTGAGTATAACTAATAATAGATCCATTGGACACTTTCAGAGACTCAGTACTTGGGCCAAAGTAGCTCTAGTTTTGCTGATGTCAGTTGTAATAAAGGTGTAATACTGCTCCTTTATTATCTGATTGTAGTTGAACCTAAGTAGATGTGTTGTACATAAAAGGAAAAGACGAAAAGGAAAAGATGGTGAAAGTTTCAATTGGCTATAGGCTCATGTTGGTATATGGTAATGGAGTGCAGGGCTTTGGGTCCAGGGTCTTTTACTTAAGCCACTCCATGGTGGCACTCATTTGCCTTTTAGTTTTTTACAATATGAATCGACCTAAGAAAAAAGTCAAGTTTCCTCACCTCTAGCAATGCTAAATGATGTGCAGTCATAGACTAGAAAATGTTTCTATACTGCTTTTTCCTTCTTGCATGTTTTTAGTAACTCTTACTGTCAGTAAGT